ATCTAAGAAACCTGATAATTGTCTTCCAATGGTCTACTCCTTGATTACTCATATTTCTACTCAATTTACTAACAGAGTATTCTATATCTGGTCTAGTACAGTTCATGGCATACATTAAACTGTCAATGATACGAGAATATTCCAATTGTGATATGCTTTGACCAGTATTTTCAGATAAATGAAGATTTATATCAACTGGTGTTCTAGCAATGCTGCTTTCATCTTTGTCGATCTTCTCAAGTATTTTCTCAATATAATGTGATTAAGATAATATAAGTCCATTAGATGTTCTAGAAATTTTAATTTCTATCTAGTATAACATCTGCAACACCTAAATCTTTCATGTCAAATTTACTGGACAATATTTTCTTGGTAGTTGTAATAATATTATTATTACTACCTTAAATAAGCTTATCATCCACATATAGGCAAACAATGACATATCCATTATTTGTGTCTTTGACATAGACACATTTGTCACATTCATTAATTGTGAAACCATTTGACATCATTACCTTGTCAAATTTCTCATGTCATTGTTTTGGTGCTTGCTTTAAACCATAAAGTGATTTAACAAGTCTATACACTTTCTTCTTTTCACCTAGAGAAACGAACCCATCGGGTTGGTCCATATAAATTTTCTCATTTAAGTTACCATTTAGGAAAGCTGTTTTCACATCCATTTGGTATATCTCAAAATTATGCAATGTTGTAATAGCTATGAGCATACGAATAGATGTTATTCTCGTGACAGGAGAATATGTATCAAAGTAATCAAGACCTTTCTTTTGTTTGTAACCTTTAGCTATAAGTCTAGCTTTGTACTTATTAATTGATCCATCAGTTTTCATTTTCCTCTTGAAAATCCATTTACACCCCCAATGGTTTACTCCTTGAAGGAAGATCTACCAACTTTCAAGTGTGATTTTGCATGATGGATTCAATTTCATTGTTTATAGCTTCTTTCCACATAGGTACTTCAGGAGTGGACATCACTTCATTGAAGCTTTAAGGCTCATTTTCAAACAAATATATTATAAAATCAGGACCATAGGACTTGGAAGTCCTTGCCCTCTTACTGCATCTAAGTGTCTCTCCATTTTCTTCATCTATAGACTCATGGTCTATATTATTAGTCACAGTATCATGAGTTCTTTTTAAAGAACTCTCTTCACATGCATTTTTACTAGGAAAGACATTTTCAAAGAATGATGCATTTCTTGACTCAATAATTGTATTGACAAGTATATCAAGAATATCATATTTATGTACGAGAAAACGACATGCACTATTATTTATTGCATAAACAATAAATATACAATCAATAATCTTAGGTCCTATTTTAATCCATTTGGGAATAGGAACCATCACCTTAGTCAAACACCTCCATACTTTTAAATATTTGTAGGAAGGATTCCGACCTTTTCATAATTCATAAGGAATTTTGTCTAACTTCTTGTGGAGTAGTCTATTTAAGATAGAATTTGCTGAAAGCAAAGCTTCCCCTCACAAGTTCTAAGATAATCCTGAACTAATCAACATGGCATTCATCATCTCTTGCTGGCCAACATACTTCTTTCTTGTTGGTTTTATGTCTCTCTTCAATCACTTGTACCTTTGACTCCATGGAATGATTACCAACTTTCTTTTCGGAGACTTTATTGGCTTCCTCAATCCTCAATCTCACAATCAAGTCTTCAAGTTTTATTTCTTTGCGTTTGTGCTTCAAATAATTTTTGAAATCCTTCCAATTTGACGGTAATTTCTCAATAATTGAAGCCACTTAGAAAGATTCACTAAGCATCATCCCTTCAGCATGAATCTCATGTAGGATCACTTGAAGATCTTGAACTTGACTTATGATAGTCTTGGAATCCACAATTTTGTAGTCAAAGAATCTACCTACAACAAATTCTTCATTCCAGCATCCTTCGTCTTGTATTTTTTATTCAAGGATTCCCACAGCTCTTTAGCCGTCTTGATTGGACTATACACATTATATAATATGTTATCCAAGTTATTGAGGATAGTTTTTGCACAAAAAATCAGATTGCTTCCATGCATCTACCGCAGCAACAACTTGGCGGTCGGTCTCATTCTCACTACAAACAGGAACATCATCACGAAGAAACTTTGCAAGATTCAACATAGTAAGATAGAACAATATTTTCTGTTGTCATCTCTTGAAATCGTTTCCATTGAAGTTTTCAGGTTTTTTCCCATGAGACACATGAGTAGGAACAAATATAGGCATCACAGGCACAACATAATTTGTAGTAGCAGGAACATTATTATCATTTGCAGCCATTTCTGATCAACAAAGATTATAAACTATTCAAAAATAGGAATTCAGTAACACTTTTCAAAACAAGTTATTAAAACAGAGAGAATCTATGTGACTGTTCAATGTCATTGTTTTGTGTCACTATTTTGAAGTTACTATTTTAACGTTGTTGTATAGTGTCACTGTTTGGTATAACTGTTTAAATTAAATACATAAACAGAACATGTAATTTTTCACAAAATGGTCACGTCTCTTTAAAATATCACAGATTGTAAACAAAACAGGTTTTAACGATTTGCAATACTTTAGAACAATTTAAAATAATAAAGCATGAATCAGAAAGTCAATAAGCAATTATACAAACACGAAATCTGTCTTAAAATTGTTGTTTTTGGTATTCCGAATATTGTAAAATCACTTATTGAACTTTCTGATTTAAACCAAGTAATATAACAAAACAGTAATAAAAGAGTTACACAGAACCAACCTTACACAAAAGAGTTACATGAAAGAGTTACAACAGTCTTACGAAACAGTAACAGTAAAGAGTTACACATAAACGAAAGAGTTACACGTAACTTTTTGTCAAACTAATATAAATACTAATCCGGTTGCAGAACAGGAACTTTTATTAAACTTGATGTAGATCAAGGCTAGTGTTTGACACTATGTCTTTAAGACAGATTTCGCCCCCACACACAGTGCTTATGGAATATCGAGCGTCTGTCTGCCAAGATACAATGATCTTTACACGAGCAAAAGTAGCACTCCAATCTACTCATCCAGCGAACCAAAAATTGTGTTGTATACTCTCCAAACCAATGTGATTCAAAGGATACCGAAAATTAATTTCTCATGCCCAATTAATTAAATAAATTATCTCCAAAAAGATAGGGTTTAGTCTAACCCACACTCACACCCAACCCAAGTCGTGGCGTGACGGGCGGGCGGGCGAGCTGCCGAACCGAAGGCATGTAGGTGCTCGCTGCGCTCATAAAACTGTGGTACCCCTTGGGGCCCAATCTCATAGAGCAAACTTGGCCTATATACGCCCATATCAATGAAGTTAGAAAACTATCAAAAAAAATTGAAAGAGAAAAATAATTTGTAGATAAATGCATTGTGATAAATTATACATATTTTTGTAGGAATAATCCTCATTTAGAATTATCCAACTATTGTTGTTTTGAAACTTAGGTGCCCAAATACCACAGTTTTAAATTTATATTATAATTATTTATAGTCCAATAAATAAATTATTTACGGAGATATTTTTGGTTCTTTTTATAAACGCCTAGTGATTGTTCAATCATTAGGACCAGTATCAAAAAGATCGGGTTACATTCTCCAAGTAATAGTACACAATTCAAATGCAATCCAAAAAGAGGGGAGTTATTCTCATCCCTTAAATCTCCCTTTTTATCCCATTTAATTATCTTACTTCAAATTACTAACTTCACCCCATATATATCCACCTCATCAATTACTAAACTCTCCCCATCTATATTCATTAATTAAAAACTAAATTCATTCAATTTTATTTCAACTTACTATATAAACAATGATCAAAATTTTATTTCAATGTATTATTTAGGTATGAAAATACTTTAGAAATAGAATAAAAATAAATAATTTTTTCAAAAATATTAGTCAAAATATACCAAAATATCTTAAAACACCTCAAAATATTTCAAAAATATTGGTAAAAATATCTCAAAAACCTCGAAATATTTTAGATCACCTTAAAACATTGAAATTTTACTTCAATTACTTTTTTTGTTTCGCTTTCTTTGAAATATATATTTAATAGTTTAACTAGATGGGTATAAATGAGGTGAACTTTGTCATTAATAGGGTGATTTAGTAGTTTAAAATAAGAGAATTAAATGGAATAGAAAATAAGATTTTAAGGGATGTGAATTGCCCTACATATCATCTTTTGGATGAGTAATCTCATCAATTTTTTCAGTAAAATCCACTCATCCAAAAGATGATATGAATTTAAGTTTCATCCCCCTTTTCTTTTTCTCCCCTTCTTCACAGGCGTTGAAGTAAATCTGTGGGTCTGCCTATGTAATGACAGTGGCTTCTATTATGACTTAAAAGGCAGTTTGGGTTCATCTTTGGAGGGACTCACTTCACAGCTTCAAGAATTGGTGCGTGAAGGACAATCTTAGTCAATGGTGAAGTTCACTTTTCAGATTGGTACGTAGTTTTAAGGGGTAATGTCTCGGTTTGAAAACCATAGATAACGTAAAAAGGGGGAAAAACCATAAAAGGGGCTAATCCATATTTTGCCCAATATTTGTGGAATTATAAAACTGAGGGAAAAGAGCTAGGGAAAAAGACCAAATTGATATTGGCAATCAGAATTGTGCGGAGAACCGTCGTAATTATGCAAGAAATCATCTGAATTTTGCAATCATTATGAAAAATAAAATTCTCTTTTTTTGAAATATTCTTAAATATTTAAAATCTAGCCAACATTCTGGGCCATCTAAAACACTTTTTTTCCAATGCGGTCTCTTCTTTTGTTGCTCCAATCTTTTGTTGCTCCAAACAATCCACTGCCGCCTTCATTTGTTTTATAGAATTCGTCAAATACTCAAAAATTGTAAGAATTATGTGACGTTGCAAAATCATTCTTTCATGAATTCGCAAGAGACATTCATAGAACCTTGGTTAGCAAATGGAAAAAGAGTGTTTTTAGAGCATAGGATGCAAATTACTGTCTCAAAAACCCACAAATTACAAGGTTGTGTGCTGAATTATGAATTAACAGACTGCTCCTCGGAGCCAAATTCAACTGATTTAGTCACCTCTTACCCGCCAAAACAATCCATAAGAGTTTGAAAATGTTAACGATACCTATAATCACCTTTTAACATTCAAGCTAAACAAGGTGCGATGTTGCTTCTTGTAATTCCAAGAAAAATCGCAGCTGCCCACAAAAATTATAAGATTTGGCTAGAGTTGGTGCTGAGTAGAATGCTAAGATTTTTCTCTTTCTATTACTCCTAGAGCTTCTCCCAGGGTTATATTGTTCCTCATTGTTCTCCTCCCAACTCCTCCATTGCCCTTTCTCATCATTGCAGCAAATTCCCCATAATCTATCTGCCCATCCTGCAAAAACAAAACCTTCCATGAAAATACATAATTCTATCAACATGCTAGCAAACATATGCAGCATCATAGCCAGATGCATGTTTTTGTTGGACAGCAATGGTACATTCCATATTACGGGTTTGGTTGAAAGCAAAATCATTGACGACAGTGCAACACAAAGCATAGAATATGGTTGAAGCAGACATTAGAAAGAGAATGCAGGTAAAAGATAGAAACATGGATCCAAAACTTTGACACCAACCTTTATGTACCTCAAGTTTCGTGTGTGATTTTTCAAATGACCAGACCATTTTTTTTTTTTTTCCCACTCTGGCTAACTTTAGCTACACAAATCCATTTGTTTGTAAGTTTACATTAGCCCACAATGAGAAAATATGTCCCCTGTTTTTTTCCAGTTTGTTTTTTTCCCCTAAACATGTTATATGAATAAAAAAGACCATTACATAATTTGATTCCTGTTAACAAAGGGTGCTGGGATAGATGGTCTGATGGACATAGTACAAACCTAAGCTTTGAAATTATTTGCATAAAGACACCAATAAAGTATTTGAACCAACAATCTCATGATAATTAGCCCAACCCTGGCACCAAGCAACGGCTAAAAATGTGTAGTTGAAATACACGCATATTGCTCAAGTCAAATTGAACAAAAAGATATTTAGTATCCAATAGCCCTTTTCTTTCACAGAAAGCATCTATAGAGCTAGCTAATTCCTTATAATAAAGATGGCACTCAATCTGCATAAACTTACGTTATCTTGATCAATTTCTTTGATCATATCATCAAGGTGAACTTCACTCAAACCGAACTCGTTACAGGCTTGCTGAAGCTCATCAATGGTTATGTAACCACTACCATCTTTGTCAAAGAAGGAGAAGGCTGATACTAAATTCTCCTCTCTTTCCAACTTGTTCAAGTGCACAGTCGCAGCAAGAAATTCACCATAGTCTATTGTTCCACTGTGGTCAATGTCCACCTACCAATAAATACCACCAAAAAAATAATAATAACGACAATCAAGTTCATTTGGCCAGGATCAAATCAACCATATAGACCAATCGTCTTACTGCATCCATGAGATCCTTGATTTCAGACTCCATGAGTTCAGAACCCACTCGTTTTAAGCCCTCTTTCAGTTCCTCGAAAGTAATTGTTCCACTGTTGTCTGCATCTATCATTTTAAACAGCTCCTTCAAACCACCAATTTCTTCTTCTGACAGTTTCTCAGCAATAACCTACAGATCAGTAAAGAATATTCATAACACATACACGTACGTGATGAAAATCAAACCAAAGACCTTGGTAAGTTATAGAAATGACTTCCAAAAGACCTTGCAGCGAATATTTACTCAAAGAGCTGCCACCACTGGGGAATCCATGAACTTTTAACAGTACAGAATAAGAGTGTTGTCATTCTTCTGTGTTATAAGAAGTTTTAGACATGAAATTTAGGCCTATCACGCACACATTAATGGAGGTCTGGACTACTGTTCTAACAAACTCTCCGTCAAGTAAACAATTGAATAAACATGTATCAATTATACGCCAAGGACTCAATGAGGAAATATCTGATAAATCTCAACTAGGAAATAATTGTAGGATTCAAACTTAATTCAGAGAACTGAAAATATAATTACAGGGTTTTAAGCAGGATCACAGGTAAANAAATTCTCCTCTCTTTCCAACTTGTTCAAGTGCACAGTCGCAGCAAGAAATTCACCATAGTCTATTGTTCCACTGTGGTCAATGTCCACCTACCAATAAATACCACCAAAAAAATAATAATAACGACAATCAAGTTCATTTGGCCAGGATCAAATCAACCATATAGACCAATCGTCTTACTGCATCCATGAGATCCTTGATTTCAGACTCCATGAGTTCAGAACCCACTCGTTTTAAGCCCTCTTTCAGTTCCTCGAAAGTAATTGTTCCACTGTTGTCTGCATCTATCATTTTAAACAGCTCCTTCAAACCACCAATTTCTTCTTCTGACAGTTTCTCAGCAATAACCTACAGATCAGTAAAGAATATTCATAACACATACACGTACGTGATGAAAATCAAACCAAAGACCTTGGTAAGTTATAGAAATGACTTCCAAAAGACCTTGCAGCGAATATTTACTCAAAGAGCTGCCACCACTGGGGAATCCATGAACTTTTAACAGTACAGAATAAGAGTGTTGTCATTCTTCTGTGTTATAAGAAGTTTTAGACATGAAATTTAGGCCTATCACGCACACATTAATGGAGGTCTGGACTACCATTCTAACAAACTCTCCGTCAAGTAAACAATTGAATAAACATGTATCAATTATACGCCAAGGACTCAATGAGGAAATATCTGATAAATCTCAACTAGGAAATAATTGTAGGATTCAAACTTAATTCAGAGAACTGAAAATATAATTACAGGGTTTTAAGCAGGATCACAGGTAAAAGACGCAAAATTACAAGGATATTGACGAAAAAATCCAATATTGCTGTGAAAAGTTGTCAAAGAATTTTCAGGTGAACTTTGTGGTCATGTAGAATCTAAAAGCCCAGCTGGTGTAATTGAAGGCCACCATGTGATTTAGTGTTTTCTCCCCCAAAACACTGGAGCTCATAATTCAAACTTCAGACCTCTGGAAAGAAGTTCTGCATCATACGATGTGGCCTTGCAGAGAGTTATATGGAGCTTCATGGCTCCGCTACGCAATGGATATACAGAACAGTGAGATGCTTGCCTTGCTCCTAGAGGAACTTAACTTACATGCAAGGTGTGCATCACATCACTTATGATAATTAAAACCAGGATCCAATTCGTGCACAAAAACATGATTTACAAATTAGCATATAAGCGGCAGTTACAAAAAATATTCCCATACGATGGATGCTGTTGATGGGACTATGATCTTCTGTACATGAGAAAAGAAAATCTCTAGGAGTGATAAGACTTTTCTTCTCAATCCATCGGGGAAAAATTATTTCTGAAATATGCTGTTTTGTACACAGAAAGTTTTCAACTACTACGGAGGACATGGGCATACAAACACTCTCTAACTTAATCACGCATACTACAAACTGATATATGCACACATTCTAGAGCATTCCCTAGTGTGATGAGTTGCACCTTACCCCAGTGTTTCAAGAATAGACAAGTGGCGCCTTATTTTAGTCAGCGGGATGCACTAAAAAATGTGGAAGAATTTCCTCAGGTCCATGATGAGAACATAATATTTGCATATTTTAGGTCTTATATCATTCATCTTAGCTATAATAATTACTTAATTCCTTTGTTTTAGTTTAGTTTTGTATTTTATGAAAAATCTTCATGTTTACTGGGGCACTAGTGTAAAGGCGAGGTTTTGCACACATTTTAATGCTATGGAGGACTTGGAGGTTGAGTTAGGAGATCTAGGAATCAAGCTAAGGGCATTACAAGCAAAATTGAAGAAAAGACCAATCCCAAGGATAGATCTTCTACTGGTTCAACAGCAAGCAATATTACATTCTACCAGTAGAAGTTCATTTCTACCGGTAGAAGTAAAACAAAGACATGTTCTACCGATAGGTTTTAAACAGAAAGTTGTTCTACCGGTAGCAGTGAAGAGTCGTTCGTGGAAAACAGAGAGCAGTTCTATAGGTAGGTCGTTTTATACTTTCTACTAGTAAATGAGAGTATTTCGCGAGAACTGTTTTGGAAAGCTAATCTAGGGGGATTTAAAAGGGCCACGATTGGTGGATTAAAAGAGAGGAAAATCAACGGATGTTCTCCTAGCTAGAGAGGAGGGATCGAATTCCATCGTTCAAAAGCTTCTTAGATGATTTCTTCTTCTCCTATGGTTAGAATGGGGTTTTCTCTTTTCAATATTTCTTTCCTTGTTTTCAATTCCAAACTTTGTTTTACATTTAGTCTTTAAATTCTTGAAAGACGATTACTTTCAATTCTCTATTATGAACGATTTACATTCATTGCAATTTAATTCAAGGTAATTTCTTTTATGTGCAATTTCCATTTCAAGTTTTATCTGCTTTCAATTACAATGAAGTTTTCTTTAATTTCTTTCGTTTTTGATTTCATTATAAGTGAGTAGTCGCATTCCGGTTTGATTGGATAAGGTAGTCTTATGTGAATGGGAATTTTGACTCAATTAGGGTTTTTTCAAAGATTAATTATTTGGTTGTTTGAACGATTAAAATTGAAAACACATTCAATATGTATATTTTCTTACTTATCCGTAGTCAGTGAAATCTGGCACGGGTAATTCTTGAAATCACTGCAATCGAAGTGAATGTAATTCTTTCAAAATTAGATCAATCAGCTTAAATACACATTTGTTGTTTCCATTTGGGTGTTAATTGAATATTTCTCACTTGAGTGAGTTTGACTACGATCTCATGTGAGATATCAAATTCGGACAAAGTATTTGTTCATGGTGAGATAAACTTTATCGATTAACCAGTCTTTTATTTAATTGTTTTTTCTTAGATGACAAATTCTACGACCAATCTTCCAAATATTCAGAGTCTTTACTTTTCTTTGTCCATCATCTTTTCGAACCTCGAACCACTCGTTTTCCCACAGGAGATGACCTGGGTAATCGACCGAGTTACAAACACAATACATTCCTATGCTTGAGAAACCAATTATATTTTACACCCTTGAGACAAAAGCAGTCCACAATACTTAACTTATATTAACAACTTCAAATTTTGGAACACTAGCACTTAAAGAAATACATGTTCAAATAGTAATTAAGCTAAAAGTTATATTTTCCGCTTCCATAAAAAAAGTTGGCAGGATAGAAAGAAAATAAAATAAAAAACAAATATTATAAAATCATTAAAAAGGAAATAATAGACATAAAAATCTAACATCTAAAGCAAATAATAACTCATCCCAAAAACCACAATAAAATAAGGTTAATTAACTTGAAATGGCAAGAAATATGACTAATTTTCTTATTGCTTATTCAAACCAATATGACAAGGACACATGTCCCAATCATAAGGTGATGGTGACACGTGTAAGACTTTGGACAAGCTAGAAGCTAATGTGGCACCAAGGGGCACCCTCGAGATTCAGAACCACCACGGGAGGAATTCTGGTGACCTCTGGCCATACTGCCTCCGTAGAATAACATACTTTCCCGCAAGAATGGCTATAATAAGCACACGGTGGGCAACCTTGGCAAGTCACCTCGTCTAATGCGGAGATGAAGATGCTGAGTCTGAGATGCCACAACTAGTGAGAATGGTATCCTTGACGAGTCCCAAAAGAGGGTACCCTTAGAATAAGACCCCCCGAGGACCTGGAATCCATTAGGGGCCCATAGTGGCAAGATCAACTAATGGTGCACCGTTACTTGACTGACTCAATGAATTAAAAGGAAAAGTCCCCCATTTAAGGATAGGGTAATATGACCCTCCCCAACGGAGGACTGAGCAACGGGAGTGGATAAACATGACTGTCAACCTCGACCTTGGGCAAGGTCTTAAATGTTTTCTAGTGTATAGCTCGCTGCCCACTAGGTAATGCTTGGCAAGGATCTAGAGGGACTCCTAAGGCACCAAAGGGTTAATGGTCCAAATCAACATATGGGATTATGGGACATATAGCTTGATGGTTGGAAGACCGAAACTATGTGTGTGTCCTTGACTAGACATTGTGGATGAAAGCCGCTAGAAAGTGGCTCCGAGGGAGTAAGTTGGGCGTCGTGGCCACGATGCATCTAGTTGATCGCAAACATGACCCCGTAGGAGCACAACTAAGACCCCTTGCTTGGGAGGATGCACCCCTCCCTCGGTGATCAAGTCAGAGTTGTATCTGAGCAGACGTCACATCTGCCTAATTTATGCTTAGGACATTTGGCACCAGCCATGCGGGTTTGTCGTATAGGTACAACCGAGGCAGTTGTCGGAGAGCACATCTATCACGTACTACGTTGACCTTTATACAGAGGCAGACCATAGGGTAGACTTAACTACCCGAGTACATGTGCTATATATATTGTCATTACTTGCCCTTATAGTGAACACACCTAACTTGTCTGCAACAAACATACCGACTGGCGCGAGAATATTCATCAACTCCACCTACCCAAGAAACCTTTTGCCCAGAGTTGGTCCCAACCATGGTTCTAGGTATCAGCCGAGTCTGATACACCTTGGCCGAGTCATATCCGACTCGGCCACTATCGATACGATAACGGTACGTGAGTTGAAGAAATCTCCAAATGAACTAACATCGGCAATATCTCGTGCGTCTCGACTAAAATCAAAGAACTCAGTCACACCTCGGTTGATTCGGCCGATTTCCATCCGAGTCATACCGATTTGGATGTGAATCATTCGCCCACGCCAAGAAAACAGTGTGCCAAAAAAAAAAAGGCAAAAGGGAAGAAGTAGCAGAATTTTACCCCAATTGTTTTGAACCCTAAATCATAACTTTTTGCCATTATGTAAACAAATCGAGTAAAGAGAAAATTAGCAACACATACCCGTAAATCCTCTAAAGAATCATCTTTCTCGGTTCTCAGTTTTACAGAGTTACTTCTTCTTTGTCGTAGATATCCATCGTTGAAATCCTAGATCACAGACATCGGAGCATCTCGATCGCTGGCAACAAAGCTTCGAGTTCCATGTGATATTTTCGAGCTCGAGCTGTCGATCACAGGAGCATCTCAATCTCTCGATCATAAGCTTCGAGCTCTCGATCGTAGGAGCATCTCGATCGCCCCCCTTTTCTCTCTCTCTCTCTCTCTCTCTCTCTCTCTCTCTCTCTAACTCAAACTGAGACCCACAAGATATTTTTGTTTTATTTTTTCAGTCTTCACTTCTTTAATTTATATTTCCCCATATTATTTAGTTTAATGGATAAAATATTTTGTAATCAGAATATTAGACCAATACTAAATAGATAAAATATTTGTATTTTCATAAAATTTAAAAGTAAAAAAAGATATATTTGTATTCACATTAATATATTATTTAGTAGCATTGGGATCTAATGTATTTTATCTAATTTACTATCTAGTATGTTTAAAATTGTTGTTGTTATTTTAAAATTTTTAATATTAATTATTAGTATGTTCAAAATAATTATAGTTATATATTTTGAAAGCTTAACAATATAGTGATATTTGATTCTTAATTTTTTAGAATGGCTCCAAAAAAAAAGTGACATTGGTTGGCATCATACAACCAATATTTTCGATAGCGCCCTCGTAATTTCTTTTGATTATTCTAAATGTGTTAAATAACGTATTTTGGTGATATAATTGATGAATGATGGTGTTTATATTTTTTAGGATTTTTCATGATTTTTTCAATTTTTTTTGAGCTTTCNGCCAAAAAAAAAAGGCAAAAGGGAAGAAGTAGCAGAATTTTACCCCAATTGTTTTGAGCCCTAAATCATAACTTTTTGCCATTATGTAAACAAATCGAGTAAAGAGAAAATTAGCAACACATACCCGTAAATCCTTTAAAGAATCATCTTTCTCAGTTCTCAGTTTTACAGAGTTACTTCTTCTTTGCCGCAGATATCCATCGTTGAAATCCTAGATCACAGACATCGGAGCATCTCGATCGCTGGCAACAAAGCTTCGAGTTCCATGTGATATTTTCGAGCTCGAGCTCTCGATCACAGGAGCATCTCAATCTCTCGATCATAAGCTTCGAGCTCTCGATCGTAGGAGCATCTCGATCGCCCCCCTTTTCTCTCTCTCTCTCTCTCTCTCTCTCTCTCTCTCTCTCTAACTCAAACTGAGACCCACAAGATATTTTTGTTTTATTTTTTCAGTCTTCACTTCTTTAATTTATATTTCCCCATATTATTTAGTTTAATGGATAAAATATTTTGTAATCAGAATATTAGACCAATACTAAATAGATAAAATATTTGTATTTTCATAAAATTTAAAAGTAAAAAAAGATATATTTGTATTCACATTAATATATTATTTAGTAGCATTGGGATCTAATGTATTTTATCTAATTTACTATCTAGTATGTTTAAAATTGTTGTTGTTATTTTAAAATTTTTAATATTAATTATTAGTATGTTCAAAATAATTATAGTTATATATTTTGAAAGCTTAACAATATAGTGATATTTGATTCTTAATTTTTTAGAATGGCTCCAAAAAAAAAGTGACATTGGTTGGCATCATACAACCAATATTTTCGATAGCGCCCTCGTAATTTCTTTTGATTATTCTAAATGTGTTAAATAACGTATTTTGGTGATATAATTGATGAATGATGATGTTTATATTTTTTAGGATTTTTCATGATTTTTTCAATTTTTTTTGAGCTTTATATCTAGTATTTTGAGCGTATCGGCCTATACCATACCGCAACCGATGTATCTTAGTGCCCTCTGAGTCGGTGACCGATACCGCGACTTTAAACCATGGTCCCAACAGTTAATAGGCAGCTCAAACCTTTCCATCACATCTTATTGTCCTACTCATCATTCTTGACTGTACTAGCATAGACGTGTGTCAGCATACTGTAAGTATATAATTCCCCACTTACACACTTCAAGTAAGATCTGAAGAACATAACTAAGGAGAGACTAATATACAATATTACAGTAGAGGAGACTTAATGGTCATATCAGAAAAGATCAAGGGACATGAGATAGTCCAAACAATGGGTTCACAAATATGAATGATGTTGGGGAATCTGACTTAGATTTGCGGGGATAATTAATCTCATGATAGCAACACTAGTTTTAAAACCAGTAATATATATATAAGTGGATTACCTAATAGTTAAATATTTTTTCATAACTAAAAAGTAGATCACTTATGACGCAAGGACCATAAACATATTACAAGACAAAGCTTTGGTCTTTTTTTATAAAAAACGATGATATCATTAATATTCCAAGACAAAGCTTGACCATATACCGTAGGCTAAATCAAACAAAGATAGTGGCATGTGTAGAACATTTGTGGCAAGTCAAGGCTTACCATTCATAATATGGTTGATGTCCGTGAATTATAATAAGTCATTGCAGCAACCCTATCCCTATAATCACAGACTTTGTGCATCTATTGCTTGATGAAGACTACTGTGGTACTTACTACTTGGGGCCAACATAAACCAGAAAACTTAAGGGAAAAAATTAGGTTGTGTAGGTATCCGGGTCTACTGCAAACATGATGGCCTAACCATGTCATTAGTGTTACAAGCAAACCGTATAAGCCCCTTACATTAACATTTTATTTCATGCGAAGTGATGACAATTACAAAATGTAAAAAAATTTATAGCATATAAAATACTCTAAAAAGCTCTAAACGTGGCACAACATTACAGTTTCTATGTTAGGAGTGACTCTTAAATCATGCTGCGAGGCCTAAGTTTCTCATCAAATTTTCTACTTTCTGCCGACCATGAGTATAAAACCCAAGTGTTGTTGAAAATACACGATAGCTGCATATCAAGGGCAGTAAGTAAGCGATCATAGAAAGCTACAGACACACAAGAATTACTTTCCCAGCTAGTTTTTACTTCTCATGACTTATAACAGGAATCCCTGGTAATCACTTTTCACAACAAACATCTCACACTTCTCAAATCCTGAGCAATGACTAGAAAAAACTTAAGGAACAACCAGAACATGTGCCTGCATAGGCACAATAAAGCAGTTGACAATGCATCTGCACTACGGTGTGCTGGACCAACCAGCATTGGCCAGTACAGGCATATTAAGTTGTAAGGAGAACTTCTCCTTGACAATGTATTGCCTTTCGTAGTTGGGAAGGAATTCACCTTTTTTTCTCATTTTTTTTTGTTTGAGGCAGGCATCTAAGAAAAAAGGTATAACCTTCCTGATGAAGAATCTCAAACTTCTATTTCTCATAGCTGGCTTAACCTTCTTAGCGTTGGCTCGAAACAAAGAAGCCCGGCCATTATGGCCAACACCCCTGCCTTGTCAAAATAAACAATCTTCTCACATCACATAAGCATCCACAGTTATTGTCTAATTCAACCAAGTAACCACTGCAATGACCTTGTCAAGTCTAGCCACAACACGCGACAACCGACGCTAAGCCACGTCCACCTTGGCCAACTCCCCCCATCATATGAGTTATCATAATCCAACAATGAGGCAACAAGTAGCTCATCCTGCAATTAAGGAAATGTCAATGCAAAAAGCACACTTGCTGCCCACAAGGGTCACACTTCCTACCATCGAGGCTGCTACCAGATCGCCCACGGTGACTTCCCTCACGCCTCAGACATGTGCCCTCCACAGAAGATCCATATATCTTGGACTTGACATGGCTGCACAGCCAAAGTACTACATTACTGCCACATCACCGTAGACATGGCTATCCAGTAATCTAATGCTAGTATACTACCTAGTTTGCAATTTTTGCATTCAAACACCCCCCATCTGCAGATAAAAATGTAAAACCTCCATGTTTCAAACCCAAATGAACTGTCCACAAATCAAGTGAATCAAATCTGAATCAGTTAATCATCAGCTAAGGGAAATTTACTCGGATTCAAATCAAATGTATCCTTCATTTAGGGAATCTAAATTTCCTAACATTCAACATACATGCATGAAGGATGGAAGTGCAAAATGAGGTTTCCATGTATCCTTCACTTAGCTCGGTCCGCTTTTAGTAGTTTATGTTCCAAGATGGGCATTTCTTATCTTTATGCTCCAGCATGAGGGGGAGTGTTAGAATTCTTATTTTTTATACTAAACATATTTAAATTAGTATAGTCTAATATTGTAATTACCATAATTGTTTCTCTCCTATAAATAAGAGGGTGTAGGGCAATACAATATACTCACCAATTACTCCTCCTAATCTCTCTTCTTCTCTTCCTCTTTTTCACTCTCTCTACTAAACCCTGACATAAAGTATACAAGTCTACTTATATATATAAATACATATTATTTAATGTGCCCGTATCTTACTTTTTGAAAAAAAATTTGTGAAGGCGTGTTCGTGTCGTATCATATCCATGTCCTATATCCGTGTCCGTATCCGTGCTTCTTAGAGTTATGGCAATGAAAATACTCCAAGAGATTTGGATCAGGCTTACGATGCACATCTACAACTTGCATGGCTTTAAAATAAGTTATCTTGTCAATAGGATAGTAGTCAACATGATCATTTGGAGAGGACATTCTCTTGACTCTTCACAATATCCTTCATAATCTGGTCCGCATATTAGGATAAAGGTGAAAGAAGCCTATGACCTAATGCCGACGGTGGAAATGTATCAACTCCTCCCGCACAAACACTAGTAAGCAAAGTAAGAGGTTTAAACTTCCTCGATAAATTAGCATGTCTTCAGTAGACAAAGATGGACAAGAAACTGAAAGCAAATGATGAAAATAATCAAGAAATGTCATAGAAGCAGGAGCAGAGCTAGAAACTGGCTTAAGGGTGGGCACTTTAACTAAGGATAGATCTAGCATAAAGTCGGTAATGTAGCCTTCCACAAAGATGACCCCATATTATATATATATATATACACACACACACACACACACACACACAAAGTAAATCTAAACCTCCCACAATAAAATATCTCATAAAAGCCTAAAGTCAAAAAAAAATTAGATGCAAACGAAAAATGTCTTGACCAAACACTACTATTTTTTACCAAATGGTAATATGAAAGTCAACTACCTAACAATTACACCTGTTTGCAAAGAATGTATTGTATATCAAATACTTTTTTGAAGGTGTCTAGATATAATATTATAGAATTGATTTTTTAGGATTGCTTGTTTAACACAAACACATCGCAGATAAACAAAATTTTCAAGTAGGTTTGAATTGTAGATTTGTTTTGAGCCGACCCTGACTTTAGCTTTTTTCTCTCAATTAATAAAAGTAAAATGATACATTTATATTAATTACATCATATTTGATAAATAAGAACTCCTTAAACCAAAAGGGCCAAAAATTGATACATATGTTGTATATGAACAAAAAATAAATAAAAAGAAATTAATTACAACTCTATATAAAAATGTTAGACTAATTACACTAATTTACAATTCACCCAGACGAGTTATCATATTTTGTATATAGTGCATGATAACTACATTATTAATGCTAACCAAAAGCAATTATCCAAGAAAGTGGTAGGGTGGGCATGACAAAGTATATGAAAAAAACTGTTAAAATATACATGCATATACCTTAGAAAAAAATTTGAGGGTGGCCAAGCCACTGCCTGTCCCCCATGTAGATATGCCATTGAAGAGAATTATTGGCAGTAGGTACAAAAACAAGCAAAGAGTCAAGAGGCATATGAAGGAAATGATTAAGACAAATCTTAAGACGATTCTCAACAGATGGAACAATCAACAGGGCATATGCCAATTTCATCAAGCTAAAAGGTATTTGACAATCTCAAACGAACTCTCATTAGTAAACTGAATCACCATGGAAGCAAAATGGTCAAGCAAAACCAGATTTTGCAATCAGAATTTCAGAGCTTCAGATCAATTCATTGATGTTATTATCATGAATACATCATAACTCTCCAGCTTTTCTTGAAGTGGCAATACGAACCGTTAGCTCAGTAGGGATGTGAAGAACCTCTTCATACACAAAAGGCAACCCTATCTCAGACTCGTCCATACAAGCCTTATATCCACTATGCTCTATTAAGAATCATATTTTGTGTTTAACGGTAAACTATCATATCTGTTTTTACTATTGTAAACTTAAAAGGTATACTTTGATCACAAAATACACCAGACGTATTTCTCCACTTAGTCTATCCTGCTTTAATTCTATGATTAACATTGTTTCTAATTTCCACCACCCCCCAATACCAAGTGTTCACTCGTTAATATCTCTATCCATTCTTCTAGTTTGCTAATTTCTACTTTTGTTTCATCAACCTATACTACAATGTGTCCACTTCATTCATCCATAATCACAGTAAAAAGATGCGAAAAATTCAACCCAAGACCTTAAAGTAGGCATCCAGTGATTGAGTTGCAGTTGTTCTCACTAGAGTCATTACACTATCGTATATATCATTAACCATATCAATATACCTATTTGTAACTAACTTTTTCTCTTAGGTTGTTAAGGGCCCCTACAACTGTACAACATGCATTCTCCAAGTCTATTAAGATTTTGTTTCCCTGTGGATACCTTTTAAATAGTCTCCCAAGTTACTATTTCAGCCCCATTTTCTTTGAATTCTGGAGTATCGCACCAAACCTATCCAAGGAACTTTCTAATGAGCACAATCTATCCATTAGTGCAATCACTTGACTAATGTAATAGAAATTTAAGGCTCTTCTCTTTTGTATTATTTATAGTAAACGAGAGAATATTGTAGATAATGCAAGTGCGAGAATCCGTGAGCAGACAAGAAGCCCTCTAATAGTTATAAAAAATGAAAAAATCTACACATTCTTAAGTTCTGTGAATCTAACTAATGTACTCTGGTTCATTGTGCCATCCCACCCAAAGAATCATTAGGTTTCATTTTCAATAGAATCTTCTACATCTGTAGGCTCTGCTCCCCTGGTTTCTTGACCACAATTATGAATTCAACAATAGATCTCCAAATGATATTAATTGATTCAGTCTCCTCAGTCTTTATTGGCTAGTACTTGCCACCAAAACATTGTGGAGAAGTTAGTGCATGTCTTGAAAGGCAGTAACAAAACACAACAGTGGTTAGCTCCACTGGATGAGCACGAAATCGACAAGGTGTAACTGCTCGGGAAACCTCTGCAGTAACAACATGCTTCTTAACAAAGACGACAACTCCACACCTAGTCAGAGAAACACCTCTACAGCAATACTGTTGTGCTCACCCCAAGTAGGGAAATAAAAGAAATTGCCTCATCCCAATGGCATCAAAATTTGTAGCCCTGCCAGGTAGCTCCAATCCTTTGACTGTCCAGAGTGCTCCTACTCAACAATTATATTGAAAGGTCCGAGCAATGGTTAGCGTAGGCAATAAACCTAGAGCTATGGGGATTTAATGGAAATGAAAGGTTTGGAATGCATAGGAAACTATATAACTTAATTCACATTAGAGTACACACGAGACTCATTTGGCTATTATTATATACACTTACATATAATAAATTGGTACAATTAAAACTCAAAGCACATCAATAGAAACCATATAAAAGACAGCATCTGCTTTTTAGATATCAGAAGGTCATGGAGCCAAAGACAAAAAGATCCAACCAGTTGAATGGAATAATCATATATTTATATAATAAAGTACAATACAATTCAAATTTCAAAAGATAAACAAAATGATTTTTGCTTTTCACAGTTAAATTCTCTTCAAATTTTACTCTAAAATTAATCCGATGGCTAATATTAACACTCCAAATTTAATAGAAAAAAGAGATCCCTAAGGGTGTGCTTGGAATAACTTTTTAAAACCACTTCTAGAAATTATAACTTTTCATGAGTACTTTAAAAAAAAAAGTAGTGTTTGAAATCATCCCACCACCATCACTGTCATCAGCCCACCGCCTCACCACCACCATCACCACCCCCCGCCCCTTACCACCACCATCGTTGTCGTCACCATACCACCCCCTACCATCACCACCGTCGCCACCCCACCACCGCCGCCGCCCAACTGCCACCGTCCCTATTACACCCACCATCACCACCGCCACTACCGTCACCTCCACCTCACCACCGCCGTCGTCACCACCACCCCACCACCACTTCCTCTACCACAACAACCACCACAGCCCCTTACTATCACCACCGTCGCCATTACTACTGCGCCACCCCACCATCCTTACCGCCCAACCACCACCATCATCACCATCACCTCTACCCCCCCACCGCCACTATCCAACCATCACCCCTACCATCACTACCCCTATCACCTCACCACCACCCCTCACAACCATCACCACTACCACCACCACCACTATCGCCACCCCACCACCGCCATTACCACCCATCACCACTACCATCGCTCACGCTCACTCTCACTCTCTCCTCTATATTTTGTGATTTGATTTTAGATGTCAATACAAATATATTATTATTGACCATACCCATAATATATTTATTGGGTAATGATCAATACCCATAATGTGACTCTTTCTTGAAGGGAGAAAGAAGAATCCTTTCAAAACAAACATGAAAACAAATGCATTTGAAAATCTAACAATCCATAATTGTGGTCATAGTCAAGAATGTTACTATCCCTGCCAACAGAGTCTGCAACCTCTCAAGACTGAGAATCCATTTGCACACACTCGGATAGTCTATGAGTTCTGCAACCTCTACAGCTAATGGTAAGCCTTATCTAACATTTATATACAGAGGAATATGGCATCTGTATTGAAATCTCAACCCAAGAATACATTGATCAAAAACATCTTGGTTTTAGCATCAAAGTCCCTTATTTCCCAGAGATACTTGAATTGTGCCAAGCAAGGTTGTCAAAAAAAGTATCGCCCCATATTATTTTTCCAAAATAATATATCGTGCACCTTAAGATAAGGCTATTTTCAAAAATATTAATAAATATATACATATAAATATGCAAATAAATATGTCCAAACTTACATAAATACCATTTTGACGCAATTATCTTTTGGAGAGATGTTTGTTCAAAACAAAGAGAGACAACTATTTGCCTTCGCGACAGAGATTGAAATACTGTTAGAATTTTGTATGTCTAAACAAGAAAAGTATTTGACCAAAAAAGAAAAGTAAGAAGACAAAGAAAGAGATGCAAAAGAGGATCGCATAAGAAGAAGAAGACCGTTGTGGGCTTTGTCTATATGAGATTGAACCAAAAAGGAGAAAATAATGCATACGAAATGGCACCATTTCACTTTCTAGGGAAAACAAGAAATCTCACAAAACGACTTTGTTTCGCGGTTTAGAGCATAGTTATTAAATCGTGTATCGGAAGTCATATCGTTTTTCTATCGTAAGATACAGTGTAATTTTAAATAAATAATAAAAAAAATATATATACCTTTGAAAAAAAATCATACACTCAANCAAGAAATCTCACAAAACGACTTTGTTTCGCGGTTTAGAGCATAGTTATTAAATCGTGTATCGGAAGTCATATCGTTTTTCAAAAATAGTGTATCGTAAGATACAGTGTAATTTTAAATAAATAATAAAAATATATATATACCTTTGAAAAAAAATCATACACTCAGAACAATATAGCATTTCATTAATACTCCACCACCTATTCAAATCATCAACATAGTTCACTAATATTATAATGCAAAGTTTACAACCATAGTTCACTAATTCAAACTTCAAACACTAAAGAGACTTTTAATCCAAATTTATAACATCCATTTTGAATTTAATCCATAAAATTAATCAAGATTCATAAATTTTTATACAAAAAAAAAAATTAATGTCTTATTTAGACAAAGNCACCACCTATTCAAATCATCAACATAGTTCACTAATATTATAATGCAAAGTTTACAATCATAGTTCACTAATTCAAACTTCAAACACTAAAGAGACTTTTAATCCAAATTTATAACATCCATTTTGAATTTAATCCATAAAATTAATCAAGATTCATAAATTTTTATACAAAAAAAAAAATTAATGTCTTATTTAGACAAAGCGACGTCGTTTCATCAGTGGTGGGGATAAAAAAATTAATGTCTTATTTAGACAAAACGACGTCGTTTCAGGAAAAAAAAAAGGTTTTGCGCGTATCGGTCGTATCGTATCGTGTATCGGACGATACGACGCAAAAACGATACATAACTACGATCCGNTGTCTTATTTAGACAAAACGACGTCGTTTCATCAGTGGTGGGGATAAAAAAATTAATGTCTTATTTAGACAAAACGACGTCGTTTCAGGAAAAAAAAAATGTTTTGCGCGTATCGGTCGTATCGTATCGTAAAAACGTATCGTGTATCGGACGATACGACGCAAAAACGATACATAACTACGATCCGTATCGTACGATACTAACAACTATGGTTTAGAGTAAAACATAAAACAATGTCTCACATGAATCATTTTCACTTTGTATCGAAACGTACCATCCCATAAATATCGTATATCGTACATTACTATAAAAAAAGATACAACTCACCGATACATATCATTTTTCATTATATCAAAATGTATTGTAAGATATGTCTTGCATATCGTACGATCCTAACAACTATGGTGCCAAGTAATCAAAGTCACCAAAAGAATATTGCTTAAGATTGAGCTAGTTATGAAACATCTGTTTCCTAAAGAAGGAAGAAATATATTGTGCTGCAAACCTTTGTTTCATGTCATCCCACGAAGTGGTAGGCGACTCATAATTGGTTTATTTGTTTTGGATGTCCTGNTTTCCTAAAGAAGGAAGAAATATATTGTGCTGCAAACCTTTGTTTCATGTCATCCCATGAAGCGGTAGGCGACTCATAATTGGTTTATTTGTTTTGGATGTCCTACCAATGCTGCTTAGCAAAACCAACAAGATGCATTTCAATAAAACTTATTTGTTGGTTATCAGTTACACCAAACCGCTCAAAATAATACTCCATTCCATTTAAGCAATCCACGTAAATGTCAGGACATAACCTACCATCACATTAAGATAATTGAGATGGCGGACATCTATAGGGTCGTTTAAAGTGCCTATCCAATGAAACTACTTATTGAGTTGGGTAAACATACAATTACAATTAAAACTTAATCCACACATCAAGTTTTTTCTTCCTAACTAAAGAATACAAGAAAATTTGGCAGCAAAGTAAGAATACAAACAAGGATATTATATTAGCATGATATTGAGCATAGATACTCGTCAGTAGTCATTCTCCTTGAAGAAGAAAGGAAAGCATTGAAACAAGGTCAAGAATTTAAACAAACAAAAAAAAAACTAGGAGAATGACGAGTATCTATGTCCACAAAAATGAAAAAATCTGGTATACATAATTGGAACATATCAGAAATTCATAATATGTCCACAAAAACCTTACACGCAAAGCCATCTTCTTGAGTTTGTTCATTGCAGAGAACTGCTTTAAGCGTGATAGAACTGCAGAATCAAGAGGTTTATCAGGGGCGATTCGGTCGTCAACAATCCATGGGTGGCCTGATAGAGATTGAAAAACAATTTCATTACCTTTTAATGCTTTTAAACTTGCTGATAATGTAGGAAGTAGTTAACCCCGAGTTTAAGTTAAATTCCCATGCTTTACCATGCCCTATAACCATGAAGGAGATGAGACTTACACAATACTTCATGGGCAGTCAGCCTTTTTTTCGGATTTCTATCAAGCGTCTTCCGAATTAGATCCTTGGCACTCTCTGAAATGCCAGGCCATGGTTCAGATTCAAAATCTAATTTCCCTTGTAATATCTGGCGGAAGATCCCTATCTCAGTCTCTAGAGTGACAAAGGTGGACATAACAGCAGATATATTAGATTTGGGAAGCATAAAGAGTGAAGTTTTCAGTAGATATTTTGTAGTCCTCCATCATGAACAGATTAAAGAACCAAACAAGATAACAACCTGCCCAAAAAGGTGGAACGCCACTTAGTAAGATGTATAAAATAACTCCTGCGCTCCATACATCTGATTCTGGTCCATAATGCTTGGATAAAACCTCTGGGGCAACGTAGTAAGGACTCCCAACTACATCAGAAAAAGTTTCACCTAGAAAATATGGGAAAGCAAACCAACAGTTCAAATCACAATAAGATGAAAACCAAGGTAAAATAAGATAAAGCAAATTGTCCAGTATAGGTCTAGATAAATGTGCTAGTGCCAACTGCAAGACAAATTGAATCGCAAAAACAAGGACATAAGTGCCACTGCCCACAAAAACAGCATCAGCAAGGTTGGTGAATTGGTTGAAACAAGAAAATGACAAATAATTTGTTATATGTGATGTGCTACAAACCAAACAATATAATACAAAATGAAAAAAGCTGACGAAAAGAGAGAACAGATATAGAAAGGAAGAATTATGTAAATGGACAGTCAAATTGAGCAAAAAAAATGTGCTAATGGAAAAATAAAAGATGCCCACCGTTCATACTTATTAAATAAATCATTCAACCCCAAATCTATGATCAATCAATAAAAGCCAAAAAAACCCATTTCATTTCAATAGCAAATCAAAACACACACAAAAAAAAAAAAAGCAAATGAAACCCAAAACCACCATTACAAATTCATGGCAAAATAATCACCAAATGGAAAAACAAGACATTTTACTCCAAAAGCAGCAGATATTAAAAACACCCAAATGGTAAATAAGCCAAAGAAACCCAAAACAACCACAAATATCCACCAATTCAAACAAAAGAAAAAGAGAAGTAACTGATTTAAAGGGAAAAGAAAGGACCCATGAATATACCTGGCTTGTAGAATACAGACAATCCAAAATCAGTGGCTTTGAGAGCGGCATCCTCATCAGTGCTAGTGAACAAGAAGTTCTCAGGTTTAAGGTCTCTATGCATGACACCCAAAGAATGACAAGCTTCCACTACCCCAACTATCGTCTTAATCAATTTGGCAGCCTCTCTCTCACTGTAATGCCCCTTCTGTACTATCCTATCAAACAACTCTCCACCAGCACAGAGCTCCATCACTATGTGGACAAACAAAGAATCCTCATATGTACCCTTGATTCTAACCACATTTGGATGCTCTGACAAGTGGTGCATTATCTGAATTTCCCTCCAAACGTCTTCGTAGTCTTCTTGGCAGAAGAGTTTCTTCTTGGGTATAGATTTGCAGGCGTAGAGTTTGCTTGTCGACTTGTCCGTACAGAGGCGGGTGGTCCCAAACTGACCTTGGCCTAGCTTTTTGCCGATTGTGTAGAGTTCTTGGAGGCTTTGTGTCTTGTAGGGGAGGACCCAGCTGGGTTTCGACGGGGGTTGTGGTGTTGATTTCTTCACTTCTGCTGAATTGTCTGTTGGTGGTTCTGAAGTTGATGAAGACATGGTTGTATGGGTGTGCCTGTGTCCGGTTTTGTTAGAAAGAGGAGCGATAAGAAAGAGAGGGCGTGGAGAGAGAGAGAGAGAGCGACTTGCAAATCGTCAAGCAAGACTATGGGCTACAAGAAGAAGACTAGTCTTCAGCCTTCTTTCTACTGTTGCTGCCAGAGAGGAGCAACTTTCCTTTTTCTCTCTTGGTGTTCTATTCTGTATTTGCTCTATCTCTTCCTCTAAACTTTCGAAAACTTGGAAAACGATTTATAGAATAAAAGAAATAATAATAATAAAGGGCAAATGATCAGATATATATTTCAATTTGATATATTTTTTGTATTATATAATTGTCCTTAATTTAATTTATACAAAAGTTGTCATTGTCCATACCTAAAGACACTATATAACAAATAAAAAAATTTAAACAATTGTCTAAATTCAAAAAGAAGGACTTAAAATTATTCATACAATTTTTTCTTTTAAAATGACTCGAAATATATTATCGATCATATCATCCACATTAATGGAACTGTTATAACAATATATAAAAACTTCTCAAAACAATATCATATATACAAATGTCACCTGAAAAAAAAAACAAATACTAACATAAACCATTGAAATTTATAATCTTTAAATAATAAATAAAATTTTACTTATTTATAAGACTCACGAATTTATCACATCTACCATCACTCAATCCAATAATACAATATAATTATAAATTCAATCATCATATTTTCAATCCACCTTATTCCCCATTTAATAAATACTTCAAGCAAAAAAAAATATTATTATAGCACAATTAAATTCACAATATTTCAATATATAGAAATCTAAAAAAATTGATTTAATTTGTTGACATACTAATGTGGTTTTATATGAATTATTGGATCAACATTAAGTTCCAATGTTTAATGGGACCTACCTCAATTCAAATGTCATAGTGAATTAGGTCAACAAATTATATCAATAAATTAGNTACCAATGCTGCTTAGCAAAACCAACAAGATGCATTTCAATAAAACTTATTTGTTGGTTATCAGTTACACCAAACCGCTCAAAATAATTCTCCATTCCATTTAAGCAATCCACGTAAATGTCAGGACATAACCTACCATCACATTAAGATAATTGAGATGGCGGACATCTATAGGGTCGTTTAAAGTGCCTATCCAATGAAACTACTTATTGAGTTGGGTAAACATACAATTACAATTAAAACTTAATCCACACATCAAGTTTTTTCTTCCTAACTAAAGAATACAAGAAAATTTGGCAGCAAAGTAAGAATACAAACAAGGATATTATATTAGCATGATATTGAGCATAGATACTCGTCAGTAGTCATTCTCCTTGAAGAAGAAAGGAAAGCATTGAAACAAGGTCAAGAATTTAAACAAACAAAAAAAAAACTAGGAGAATGACGAGTATCTATGTCCACAAAAATGAAAAAATCTGGTATACATAATTGGAACATATCAGAAATTCATAATATGTCCACAAAAACCTTACACGCAAAGCCATCTTCTTGAGTTTGTTCATTGCAGAGAACTGCTTTAAGCGTGATAGAACTGCAGAATCAAGAGGTTTATCAGGGGCGATTCGGTCGTCAACAATCCATGGGTGGCCTGATAGAGATTGAAAAACAATTTCATTACCTTTTAATGCTTTTAAACTTGCTGATAATGTAGGAAGTAGTTAACCCCGAGTTTAAGTTAAATTCCCATGCTTTACCATGCCCTATAACCATGAAGGAGATGAGACTTACACAATACTTCATGGGCAGTCAGCCTTTTTTTCGGATTTCTATCAAGCGTCTTCCGAATTAGATCCTTGGCACTCTCTGAAATGCCAGGCCATGGTTCAGATTCAAAATCTAATTTCCCTTGTAATATCTGGCGGAAGATCCCTATCTCAGTCTCTAGAGTGACAAAGGTGGACATAACAGCAGATATATTAGATTTGGGAAGCATAAAGAGTGAAGTTTTCAGTAGATATTTTGTAGTCCTCCATCATGAACAGATTAAAGAACCAAACAAGATAACAACCTGCCCAAAAAGGTGGAACGCCACTTAGTAAGATGTATAAAATAACTCCTGCGCTCCATACATCTGATTCTGGTCCATAATGCTTGGATAAAACCTCTGGGGCAACGTAGTAAGGACTCCCAACTACATCAGAAAAAGTTTCACCTAGAAAATATGGGAAAGCAAACCAACAGTTCAAATCACAATAAGATGAAAACCAAGGTAAAATAAGATAAAGCAAATTGTCCAGTATAGGTCTAGATAAATGTGCTAGTGCCAACTGCAAGACAAATTGAATCGCAAAAACAAGGACATAAGTGCCACTGCCCACAAAAACAGCATCAGCAAGGTTGGTGAATTCGTTGAAACAAGAAAATGACAAATAATTTGTTATATGTGATGTGCTACAAACCAAACAATATAATACAAAATGAAAAAAGCTGACGAAAAGAGAGAACAGATATAGAAAGGAAGAATTATGTAAATGGACAGTCAAATTGAGCAAAAAAAATGTGCTAATGGAAAAATAAAAGATGCCCACCGTTCATACTTATTAAATAAATCATTCAACCCCAAATCTATGATCAATCAATAAAAGCCAAAAAAACCCATTTCATTTCAATAGCAAATCAAAACACACACAAAAAAAAAAAAAGCAAATGAAACCCAAAACCACCATTACAAATTCATGGCAAAATAATCACCAAATGGAAAAACAAGACATTTTACTCCAAAAGCAGCAGATATTAAAAACACCCAAATGGTAAATAAGCCAAAGAAACCCAAAACAACCACAAATATCCACCAATTCAAACAAAAGAAAAAGAGAAGTAACTGATTTAAAGGGAAAAGAAAGGACCCATGAATATACCTGGCTTGTAGAATACAGACAATCCAAAATCAGTGGCTTTGAGAGCGGCATCCTCATCAGTGCTAGTGAACAAGAAGTTCTCAGGTTTAAGGTCTCTATGCATGACACCCAAAGAATGACAAGCTTCCACTACCCCAACTATCGTCTTAATCAATTTGGCAGCCTCTCTCTCACTGTAATGCCCCTTCTGTACTATCCTATCAAACAACTCTCCACCAGCACAGAGCTCCATCACTATGTGGACAAACAAAGAATCCTCATATGTACCCTTGATTCTAACCACATTTGGATGCTCTGACAAGTGGTGCATTATCTGAATTTCCCTCCAAACGTCTTCGTAGTCTTCTTGGCAGAAGAGTTTCTTCTTGGGTATAGATTTGCAGGCGTAGAGTTTGCTTGTCGACTTGTCCGTACAGAGGCGGGTGGTCCCAAACTGACCTTGGCCTAGCTTTTTGCCGATTGTGTAGAGTTCTTGGAGGCTTTGTGTCTTGTAGGGGAGGACCCAGCTGGGTTTCGACGGGGGTTGTGGTGTTGATTTCTTCACTTCTGCTGAATTGTCTGTTGGTGGTTCTGAAGTTGATGAAGACATGGTTGTATGGGTGTGCCTGTGTCCGGTTTTGTTAGAAAGAGGAGCGATAAGAAAGAGAGGGCGTGGAGAGAGAGAGAGAGAGCGACTTGCAAATCGTCAAGCAAGACTATGGGCTACAAGAAGAAGACTAGTCTTCAGCCTTCTTTCTACTGTTGCTGCCAGAGAGGAGCAACTTTCCTTTTTCTCTCTAGATGTTCTATTCTGTATTTGCTCTATCTCTTCCTCTAAACTTTCGAAAACTTGGAAAACGATTTATAGAATAAAAGAAATAATAATAATAAAGGGCAAATGATCAGATATATATTTCAATTTGATATATTTTTTGTATTATATAATTGTCCTTAATTTAATTTATACAAAAGTTGTCATTGTCCATACCTAAAGACACTATATAACAAATAAAAAAATTTAAACAATTGTCTAAATTCAAAAAGAAGGACTTAAAATTATTCATACAATTTTTTCTTTTAAAATAACTCAAAATATATTATCGATCATATCATCCACATTAATGGAACTATTATAACAATATATAAAAACTTCTCAAAACAATATCATATATACAAATGTCACCTGAAAAAAAAAACAAATACTAACATAAACCATTGAAATTTATAATCTTTAAATAATAAATAAAATTTTACTTATTTATAAGACTCACGAATTTATCACATCTACCATCACTCAATCCAATAACACAACATAATTATAAATTCAATCATCATATTTCCAATCCATCTTATTCCCCATTTAATAAATACTTCAAGCAAAAAAAATATATTATTATAGCACAATTAAATTCACAATCTTTCAATATATAGAAATCTAAAAAAATTGATTTAATTTGTTGACATACTAATGTGGTTTTATATGAATCATTGGATCAACATTAAGTTCCAATGTTTAATGGGACCTACACTCAATTCAAATGTCATAGTGAATTAGGTCAACAAATTATATCAATAAATTAGGTCACAATAGCATTGTTATTTATAAAACTCACGAATCAACCTCAAATGTTCCAATATAATTATAAATTTAATTACCAAATATTCAATCCTTCACATATAAATATACACATAATCACATTTTTACACATTTCTGTTTGAGTAATGCTATTTAAATACAAATATTTGACATAATTTGCTGACATAATGATGTAGCTTCATAANAATACAAGAAAATTTGGCAGCAAAGTAAGAATACAAACAAGGATATTATATTAGCATGATATTGAGCATAGATACTCGTCAGTAGTCATTCTCCTTGAAGAAGAAAGGAAAGCATTGAAACAAGGTCAAGAATTTAAACAAACAAAAAAAAAACTAGGAGAATGACGAGTATCTATGTCCACAAAAATGAAAAAATCTGGTATACATAATTGGAACATATCAGAAATTCATAATATGTCCACAAAAACCTTACACGCAAAGCCATCTTCTTGAGTTTGTTCATTGCAGAGAACTGCTTTAAGCGTGATAGAACTGCAGAATCAAGAGGTTTATCAGGGGCGATTCGGTCGTCAACAATCCATGGGTGGCCTGATAGAGATTGAAAAACAATTTCATTACCTTTTAATGCTTTTAAACTTGCTGATAATGTAGGAAGTAGTTAACCCCGAGTTTAAGTTAAATTCCCATGCTTTACCATGCCCTATAACCATGAAGGAGATGAGACTTACACAATACTTCATGGGCAGTCAGCCTTTTTTTCGGATTTCTATCAAGCGTCTTCCGAATTAGATCCTTGGCACTCTCTGAAATGCCAGGCCATGGTTCAGATTCAAAATCTAATTTCCCTTGTAATATCTGGCGGAAGATCCCTATCTCAGTCTCTAGAGTGACAAAGGTGGACATAACAGCAGATATATTAGATTTGGGAAGCATAAAGAGTGAAGTTTTCAGTAGATATTTTGTAGTCCTCCATCATGAACAGATTAAAGAACCAAACAAGATAACAACCTGCCCAAAAAGGTGGAACGCCACTTAGTAAGATGTATAAAATAACTCCTGCGCTCCATACATCTGATTCTGGTCCATAATGCTTGGATAAAACCTCTGGGGCAACGTAGTAAGGACTCCCAACTACATCAGAAAAAGTTTCACCTAGAAAATATGGGAAAGCAAACCAACAGTTCAAATCACAATAAGATGAAAACCAAGGTAAAATAAGATAAAGCAAATTGTCCAGTATAGGTCTAGATAAATGTGCTAGTGCCAACTGCAAGACAAATTGAATCGCAAAAACAAGGACATAAGTGCCACTGCCCACAAAAACAGCATCAGCAAGGTTGGTGAATTGGTTGAAACAAGAAAATGACAAATAATTTGTTATATGTGATGTGCTACAAACCAAACAATATAATACAAAATGAAAAAAGCTGACGAAAAGAGAGAACAGATATAGAAAGGAAGAATTATGTAAATGGACAGTCAAATTGTGCAAAAAAAATGTGCTAATGGAAAAATAAAAGATGCCCACCGTTCATACTNACGAAAAGAGAGAACAGATATAGAAAGGAAGAATTATGTAAATGGACAGTCAAATTGAGCAAAAAAAATGTGCTAATGGAAAAATAAAAGATGCCCACCGTTCATACTTATTAAATAAATCATTCAACCCCAAATCTATGATCAATCAATAAAAGCCAAAAAAACCCATTTCATTTCAATAGCAAATCAAAACACACACAAAAAAAAAAAAAGCAAATGAAACCCAAAACCACCATTACAAATTCATGGCAAAATAATCACCAAATGGAAAAACAAGACATTTTACTCCAAAAGCAGCAGATATTAAAAACACCCAAATGGTAAATAAGCCAAAGAAACCCAAAACAACCACAAATATCCACCAATTCAAACAAAAGAAAAAGAGAAGTAACTGATTTAAAGGGAAAAGAAAGGACCCATGAATATACCTGGCTTGTAGAATACAGACAATCCAAAATCAGTGGCTTTGAGAGCGGCATCCTCATCAGTGCTAGTGAACAAGAAGTTCTCAGGTTTAAGGTCTCTATGCATGACACCCAAAGAATGACAAGCTTCCACTACCCCAACTATCGTCTTAATCAATTTGGCAGCCTCTCTCTCACTGTAATGCCCCTTCTCTACTATCCTATCAAACAACTCTCCACCAGCACAGAGCTCCATCACTATGTGGACAAACAAAGAATCCTCATATGTACCCTTGATTCTAACCACATTTGGATGCTCTGACAAGTGGTGCATTATCTGAATTTCCCTCCAAACGTCTTCGTAGTCTTCTTGGCAGAAGAGTTTCTTCTTGGGTATAGATTTGCAGGCGTAGAGTTTGCTTGTCGACTTGTCCGTACAGAGGCGGGTGGTCCCAAACTGACCTTGGCCTAGCTTTTTGCCGATTGTGTAGAGTTCTTGGAGGCTTTGTGTCTTGTAGGGGAGGACCCAGCTGGGTTTCGATGGGGGTTGTGGTGTTGATTTCTTCACTTCTGCTGAATTGTCTGTTGGTGGTTCTGAAGTTGATGAAGACATGGTTGTATGGTGTGCCTGTGTCCGGTTTTGTTAGAAAGAGGAGCGATGAGAAAGAGAGGGCGTGGAGAGAGAGAGAGAGAGAGCGACTTGCAAATCGTCAAGCAAGACTATGGGCTACAAGAAGAAGACTAGTCTTCAGCCTTCTTTCTACTGTTGCTGCCAGAGAGGAGCAACTTTCCTTTTTCTCTCTTGGTGTTCTATTCTGTATTTGCTCTATCTCTTCCTCTAAACTTTCGAAAACTTGGAAAACGATTTATAGAATAAAAGAAATAATAATAATAAAGGGCAAATGATCAGATATATATTTCAATTTGATATATTTTTTGTATTATATAATTGTCCTTAATTTAATTTATACAAAAGTTGTCATTGTCCATACCTAAAGACACTATATAACAAATAAAAAAATTTAAACAATTGTCTAAATTCAAAAAGAAGGACTTAAAATTATTCATACAATTTTTTCTTTTAAAATGACTCGAAATATATTATCGATCATATCATCCACATTAATGGAACTGTTATAACAATATATAAAAACTTCTCAAAACAATATCATATATACAAATGTCACCTGAAAAAAAAAACAAATACTAACATAAACCATTGAAATTTATAATCTTTAAATAATAAATAAAATTTTACTTATTTATAAGACTCACGAATTTATCACATCTACCATCACTCAATCCAATAATACAATATAATTATAAATTCAATCATCATATTTCCAATCCATCTTATTCCCCATTTAATAAATACTTCAAGCAAAAAAAATATATTATTATAGCACAATTAAATTCACAATCTTTCAATATATAGAAATCTAAAAAAATTGATTTAATTTGTTGACATACTAATGTGGTTTTATATGAATCATTGGATCAACATTAAGTTCCAATGTTTAATGGGACCTACACTCAATTCAAATGTCATAGTGAATTAGGTCAACAAATTATATCAATAAATTATGTCACAATAGCATTGTTATTTATAAAACTCACGAATCAACCTCAAATGTTCCAATATAATTATAAATTTAATTACCAAATATTCAATCCTCCACATATAAATATACACATAATCACATTTTTACACATTTCTNAATCAGTGGCTTTGAGAGCGGCATCCTCATCAGTGCTAGTGAACAAGAAGTTCTCAGGTTTAAGGTCTCTATGCATGACACCCAAAGAATGACAAGCTTCCACTACCCCAACTATCGTCTTAATCAATTTGGCAGCCTCTCTCTCACTGTAATGCCCCTTCTGTACTATCCTATCAAACAACTCTCCACCAGCACAGAGCTCCATCACTATGTGGACAAACAAAGAATCCTCATATGTACCCTTGATTCTAACCACATTTGGATGCTCTGACAAGTGGTGCATTATCTGAATTTCCCTCCAAACGTCTTCGTAGTCTTCTTGGCAGAAGAGTTTCTTCTTGGGTATAGATTTGCAGGCGTAGAGTTTGCTTGTCGACTTGTCCGTACAGAGGCGGGTGGTCCCAAACTGACCTTGGCCTAGCTTTTTGCCGATTGTGTAGAGTTCTTGGAGGCTTTGTGTCTTGTAGGGGAGGACCCAGCTGGGTTTCGACGGGGGTTGTGGTGTTGATTTCTTCACTTCTGCTGAATTGTCTGTTGGTGGTTCTGAAGTTGATGAAGACATGGTTGTATGGGTGTGCCTGTGTCCGGTTTTGTTAGAAAGAGGAGCGATAAGAAAGAGAGGGCGTGGAGAGAGAGAGAGAGAGCGACTTGCAAATCGTCAAGCAAGACTATGGGCTACAAGAAGAAGACTAGTCTTCAGCCTTCTTTCTACTGTTGCTGCCAGAGAGGAGCAACTTTCCTTTTTCTCTCTAGATGTTCTATTCTGTATTTGCTCTATCTCTTCCTCTAAACTTTCGAAAACTTGGAAAACGATTTATAGAATAAAAGAAATAATAATAATAAAGGGCAAATGATCAGATATATATTTCAATTTGATATATTTTTTGTATTATATAATTGTCCTTAATTTAATTTATACAAAAGTTGTCATTGTCCATACCTAAAGACACTATATAACAAATAAAAAAATTTAAACAATTGTCTAAATTCAAAAAGAAGGACTTAAAATTATTCATACAATTTTTTCTTTTAAAATAACTCAAAATATATTATCGATCATATCATCCACATTAATGGAACTATTATAACAATATATAAAAACTTCTCAAAACAATATCATATATACAAATGTCACCTGAAAAAAAAAACAAATACTAACATAAACCATTGAAATTTATAATCTTTAAATAATAAATAAAATTTTACTTATTTATAAGACTCACGAATTTATCACATCTACCATCACTCAATCCAATAACACAACATAATTATAAATTCAATCATCATATTTCCAATCCATCTTATTCCCCATTTAATAAATACTTCAAGCAAAAAAAATATATTATTATAGCACAATTAAATTCACAATCTTTCAATATATAGAAATCTAAAAAAATTGATTTAATTTGTTGACATACTAATGTGGTTTTATATGAATCATTGGATCAACATTAAGTTCCAATGTTTAATGGGACCTACACTCAATTCAAATGTCATAGTGAATTAGGTCAACAAATTATATCAATAAATTATNTGTGTAGAGTTCTTGGAGGCTTTGTGTCTTGTAGGGGAGGACCCAGCTGGGTTTCGACGGGGGTTGTGGTGTTGATTTCTTCACTTCTGCTGAATTGTCTGTTGGTGGTTCTGAAGTTGATGAAGACATGGTTGTATGGGTGTGCCTGTGTCCGGTTTTGTTAGAAAGAGGAGCGATAAGAAAGAGAGGGCGTGGAGAGAGAGAGAGAGAGCGACTTGCAAATCGTCAAGCAAGACTATGGGCTACAAGAAGAAGACTAGTCTTCAGCCTTCTTTCTACTGTTGCTGCCAGAGAGGAGCAACTTTCCTTTTTCTCTCTAGATGTTCTATTCTGTATTTGCTCTATCTCTTCCTCTAAACTTTCGAAAACTTGGAAAACGATTTATAGAATAAAAGAAATAATAATAATAAAGGGCAAATGATCAGATATATATTTCAATTTGATATATTTTTTGTATTATATAATTGTCCTTAATTTAATTTATACAAAAGTTGTCATTGTCCATACCTAAAGACACTATATAACAAATAAAAAAATTTAAACAATTGTCTAAATTCAAAAAGAAGGACTTAAAATTATTCATACAATTTTTTCTTTTAAAATAACTCAAAATATATTATCGATCATATCATCCACATTAATGGAACTATTATAACAATATATAAAAACTTCTCAAAACAATATCATATATACAAATGTCACCTGAAAAAAAAAACAAATACTAACATAAACCATTGAAATTTATAATCTTTAAATAATAAATAAAATTTTACTTATTTATAAGACTCACGAATTTATCACATCTACCATCACTCAATCCAATAACACAACATAATTATAAATTCAATCATCATATTTCCAATCCATCTTATTCCCCATTTAATAAATACTTCAAGCAAAAAAAATATATTATTATAGCACAATTAAATTCACAATCTTTCAATATATAGAAATCTAAAAAAATTGATTTAATTTGTTGACATACTAATGTGGTTTTATATGAATCATTGGATCAACATTAAGTTCCAATGTTTAATGGGACCTACACTCAATTCAAATGTCATAGTGAATTAGGTCAACAAATTATATCAATAAATTATGTCACAATAGCATTGTTATTTATAAAACTCACGAATCAACCTCAAATGTTCCAATATAATTATAAATTTAATTACCAAATATTCAATCCTCCACATATAAATATACACATAATCACACTTTTACACATTTCTTTTTGAGTAATGCTATTTAAATCCAAATATTTGACATAATTTGCTGACATAATGATGTAGCTTCATAGGNGGAGAGAGAGAGAGAGAGCGACTTGCAAATCGTCAAGCAAGACTATGGGCTACAAGAAGAAGACTAGTCTTCAGCCTTCTTTCTACTGTTGCTGCCAGAGAGGAGCAACTTTCCTTTTTCTCTCTTGGTGTTCTATTCTGTATTTGCTCTATCTCTTCCTCTAAACTTTCGAAAACTTGGAAAACGATTTATAGAATAAAAGAAATAATAATAATAAAGGGCAAATGATCAGATATATATTTCAATTTGATATATTTTTTGTATTATATAATTGTCCTTAATTTAATTTATACAAAAGTTGTCATTGTCCATACCTAAAGACACTATATAACAAATAAAAAAATTTAAACAATTGTCTAAATTCAAAAAGAAGGACTTAAAATTATTCATACAATTTTTTCTTTTAAAATGACTCGAAATATATTATCGATCATATCATCCACATTAATGGAACTGTTATAACAATATATAAAAACTTCTCAAAACAATATCATATATACAAATGTCACCTGAAAAAAAAAACAAATACTAACATAAACCATTGAAATTTATAATCTTTAAATAATAAATAAAATTTTACTTATTTATAAGACTCACGAATTTATCACATCTACCATCACTCAATCCAATAATACAATATAATTATAAATTCAATCATCATATTTCCAATCCATCTTATTCCCCATTTAATAAATACTTCAAGCAAAAAAAATATATTATTATAGCACAATTAAATTCACAATCTTTCAATATATAGAAATCTAAAAAAATTGATTTAATTTGTTGACATACTAATGTGGTTTTATATGAATCATTGGATCAACATTAAGTTCCAATGTTTAATGGGACCTACACTCAATTCAAATGTCATAGTGAATTAGGTCAACAAATTATATCAATAAATTATGTCACANTCCCACTTTTATTTTTTAAGAGAATTTCTCATCTCCTATTGGTAAACTCAAAAAACTCTGATTCATATGAAAATACGTGAAAATAAATTAAAAAGTTGACAAAAAAATTTAAAAAATTTAGTACCAAAAAAAATTGATAGTATTGTCAAAAATATAATCTAAAGTCAATTTTCGTGTTGATTTGATCAATAACAAATAATATTTAATTTTATCAAATTGACATTTAATTTTGTTAAATTAATATTCAATTTTTTTGAATTAATTTTTTTATCGTTATCAAATTAATATTGAAATTCATTTAAAAAAAATTTTGGGGTACTAAATTATCAATTTTTTTGGGTGATAAATCAAATTTTGTTTGATTTTATTAAAATTTTAATTTAATTTTAAGGGTTTTTTTTTACTAAATTTGGAGAAGGGCAATTGTGAAAATAATAAGGTTTTTTGGAATAAAATCATCACTTTTCGTTAGCAACATTGACAAAAGGGAGATGAAGGGGGTCTTCGTGCAATAAATTTCAAACTTCAAGAAGTCTCCGTGCTATTTGTAAAATGTCAGAAAGTATCCGTATAATATTGTCAAAACTCAGGGAGTATCCGTGTTTTTTACCCTAAAAATTAATGTTAGAAAATTGTCAAAATAGATTGAAAATCTTGTTTGATGAAGTTTCTAGAATTATAAAAACCTGTCCACACAATCTTAAAAAACAAAAAAAAAATATCAAATTGTACACCACGATTATCGCCCACTCACATTCACACCCACAAAAGAGAATAATGAAAATTCATAAAATAGAGCAAATATTAGAAAAAATTACAAAAATAATCCATATAAAAACTATTGTCAATGGGGATTCTAAAGGAATTTAGGCATTGAATCAAAGATGCAAGGGGCAAAATACATGTCGTCAGATATATAAAAATTTTGAATTAATTTTATGGAATAAATAATTGCATACACATATAGTTTCATATGTTTTATAAAATAAATAATAAAAAAAATAACATAGGGGAACATACAAAAAAATAAGATAATAGTGAGAGAGAGTACAAGATTAGATATATAGAGAGAGTTAGCTGATAGATAGGAGTCTTAAAAAAATTTCACATAAGGATCATCGGATCAATAATCATCAAGCGTCCGAACCTCGAAAAACTTAAGATAAATTTTTCTACCTACTTTATTATATAGATTTTTAAAATTTTCTTATTTTATATTCTATATTATTACATAAGAGGTTTCATAAATTAAGGAATTATTTAATTGTTTGAATTTTAAAATAATTAATTAACTTAAATCATGCAATATTTTATTAGCCAACTTTTTTGTATTCTCCGGTTAACCATTAATGAGTTATATCTTCTAAAATCAACCACCCAAATTTTTTCCTCTTCAAGAAACCCTTGTGTCGATTCTATTTTTAGAATTGTCGAGAACATTTATGTACTATTAAATTTCAGGATCGAATTACGTGATAAACGAAATCTCACGATTTTCTTCAATTCTCACATACTAGGTTCAAAAAAACAAAATTCATGCATTTACTTTATCATAGAATAGATCGTTTTAGTCACCTTATAAATGATTTTTGTGCTCAATCTATCTATAGAGACCAGGTCAATGGCTTAATGGTTCAACTATTGGGTCAACAGGTCTGACCGATTATTTAATAAAAAAATAAAAAAAATTATAAAACATAATAATTTAACTAAAAAAATATAAAACATATCCATAATACACATAATTTACTATAAAATTAAAACCATTGACACATAATCTTATCAAACAAAAAAAAAGTAACAAAAATAGAA